ATATATATATATATATATATATATATATATATATATATATATATATATATATATATATATATATATATATATATATATATATAGCAATGTTAAAACAAAGATATTAAAGCTATGATACTTAAAAATAATTATTCTATTTTATTTATGATATTGCACATTTTTATTTACCAAATTTAAATAATGTAATCTGATACTTTCATGATTTTAATGCAATATAATTATATATTGCAATATGATGCAAGATAATTTTAATTTAAAAGTCTTACCTGTTCTGTCAAGACCTCGCCGATGTAGCAAAATATAAATATATTAAAACACATAGATAAATATGAAATGATATATGATATTATTTTCGTAAGATGAAATTCTCCTGAACCCCAGTTCTGAAACATTAATTTATTCACCTCAATGAATTAAAGTAATTTATTTTTATTATAATTTTATTATCGTTATTATTATTATTTTATCCTTGATAAATAATAATTGCATTTCTAATTATTTAATTAATTATTCATTGCCATACATGTAATAACATATCTCCTTTTAGCTATATATTTAATAATATATCTTTTTTTAACATACCATAATAATATAATATCCACATAAACACATATTTATCGTACTTCCCATCATTTGCGCGAAACAAGCTTTATGCATAATGCTCTCCATACGTGCTATAAAACTGAAATATATCTATATGCTTATAATGTTTTCTCAATGAGAACTGAGGTTTCCTTTTATAAAATAAGAGATTTTTGCATATAACGTATTTATAAATAAATAATGTTTAATATAAATCTTTATCCTTTCTATACGTTAGGGTAAATATTTTCTTAAAGTGTTTTGAAAAGTATTTCATATTTAAGAGTTTTGTTATGTGAAAAAATTTTCGAGTAATATACAAGGAAAATTTTGTTATTATAAAATTACTATATAGTATTTTAAAATTATTATATAGTATTTTATAATCAAAGAATAAATTGGTATTCTGTAGTAATTAATATCTTTTTTTTTATATGTATTATTTATGTTCCAGAAAATAACGTGCTATTAAAAAATTTGTTGTGTTCCCAGCAAAATTTATTATGTTCTTTAAAGAGAAGGACTTTATGGATTACTAGATTTTTTTGCACTATTAGAAACATAGATAAAAAAATGTATATGAAAGGAAACAATAACATTCTCTCATTATTTAATATATCGTTCAATATTTACTTATTATTATTATTATATCTAAATTAATTATATGTTTAATATAATATAAATATCCAAAGCAGAATGGAAAGTTAATAGTTAAGTACCTTAGAATTCTCAAATGGTGTTCCACGACAATAGCTAACTTTTTATTGACCGAACAGGGTTCTTTATCTTGGTCATCTACAAGTTCATTCAGCCACGTATATAATACATTGAGCTGACTGCAAGCGTGCATTGCAAAAACAGCAGCGAAACCGCAAATTCCCACCGTAGAAGAGCTTGCTACAAATGCAGATATAACTTGCACAGTTAACATGATCTCGTTTATAGGGCTGAATCTCGTGTCGATAATCTTGCTGTACGCTGGACACGTCAATGGATGCATCGTATAAGTTTCATTGCTGATCATAAAGGTCGTAGTCTTTATCGCTTTGCCTAATGCGAAGAGTATCGCGCCTCCTTGCATGAAGGCCGCGCAGATTCCTGATATAAAGCGGCCCACCTTAGCGTGTTGCAACATCACTTCTCGATCGTTTATTCTCTGTACAATTTGCCAGTCCATCTCCATGTGTCGTATGCAATCTTGAATGTCTTTGCTGCGTTGGAGCAGCACGCAATAATTGATCGTACCTGTAATCCTGTGTAATAGTGGGCAGAGAACGTTCAATTTGCTCTTGAAACTTTCCTTCTCAAGTGACACGTAGAGCATGCACGGCACTGCATTTATTGCCACTATCATCGAGCATATGAAAATCTGTATTAATACGGTGATTCTCTTAATCGTGCTCAACGTGTTCATTTGCGGCCAAGCTCCAATCGGCTCGAGGAACCATCGGTTTATCTGTAAACTGTAATTATTAACATTTTCGAAGTTATCGTCTTTCGAAACACGTTTAGGATGTGTCATGATCACTTAACAAAGCCACTCGATGTACTGCTACGTTGGGCCAAAGCGCTTTTGCAAGAGTTGTGTTCGAATAAGCGCCTGCGCAAACTTCTAATGAAGTTCCATGAACGTTTATAGCATTGTTACTTGTGATAGAGACGCGTGCACGTTCAATCAATAATCGCTCCTAGCAACTTGTCCTGTCAGTTTGACAAGAGACCGCGTTGTGAGAGGAATGTCAAGATCTGTTTTTAGAAGTGAGTGCTCATTTTTATTGAAAAGATCCCGCACAAAACCTATGGAAAATGGTTTTCGGTCAAATTGGCTGAAATTTCACTATGTTATAGTTTCCGCCATGCTGATAAAAAGTTATCATTGCACCAAGTCCCAAAAGTCAATATTTCGCAAGATGTAAAGGGTCAAAGTAGTGAAATATGGTCATCCGCAGTAATAAGACGTATGTTATAAGTGATACATTGATATTTATTCACGAAATAAATAAAAATCGATTTTTACATATATATATATATATATGTAATAAATATTTAGTTCCGCAATATATATGTATATGTATATACAGGGTGGGGCAAAAGTATCGGACCGGTAAAATATCTCGAAAAATATAAGTTTTACAAAAAACTGTTTCAGATCAGAAGGCAAATTAAAAGCATTTCGTCTATGAATAGCTATTTCTAGTTTACCAGCATTTTCTTCTCCATCAATATGAGCCATTGTTCTTAAAGAAAATCTTCCATTACAGATGTAACAAAAGAAATTTTGGTTTGCCATTTTATACTAACAGAAATATCACTTTATTTTGATTGTAAGTACCTGTGAAAACAACTGATTGTGAGTAGCCGTGAAAACAACTGATTGTGAGTAGCCGTGAAAACAACTGATTTTTTACTTTGGCAACGCCACCCAAAATCAATCCGATAAAATCAGTAAATACAATAAATTTTTTTAAGATCTGAAATAGTTTTTTGTAAAACTTATATTTTTCGAGATATTTCACCGGTCCGATACTTTTGCCCCACCCTGTATATACATATACATATATATTGCGGAACTAAATATTTATTACATATATATATATATATAT